AGACGTTTATGTTTATTGAACTATATAAAACACATTTAAATGTAATAATATCAATGTTATGAATTGTGACATTATGATCCATACAAATAATCAATAAATTATTAAAATAAAGAAAAGAAAAATTTCCAATGAAGTAGGCCAAAAATATTGATCCTGGACACCAAATGTATCTCCAATTATAGAATCACCAATATAATCCAAAGTTAGACCCTACACTACTGATCTGTTTCAAACATGGTTTCCCTTTATTTATAGTTTTTCTTTCTTCCACGTTATCCAAACTAAATGCTTAATTACTAAAGGTTCTCCACTGTATTTGGCAAAAATATCCACACTGCCAACATCAACATAGAGAAAAAGAACATTTAGKTTGATTAAAATTTCTTAAAGAACATAGTTTTCTTCACAGTTATTAACCATTTGAGCTCTTTTTTAAACTTTTATCACACTGAGACGTAGTTTCAATGAGTCGTAACTAAATAGGAATATAAATATGGAAGGAAAAGAGTAAAACAGGCTCTGTTGTTTTTAGTTTTTCAGGTGTAAAGTCATAGCGGGCAGGTGTAAAAATAGGTAGGAGTGTCATTGTTTCTCCAAGTCCACACAGATAGACCAAAAACTTTAGCTTTAAAAAAAACTTCACTTTTGGAAAGTTTTCTCACCAAAAACTCAGTTTTTGTATGGAGGTGCAAAAAAAAAAAAACTTTGTTCTTAAAATATCCAGTTTCCAGAAATATTTGATGAGCTGTCTACAGCCATTGATCACACATTAAATTTTACTTTTTTAAAAACCACGTTGTACAAATCAGCTTCAGGGTGATGGTGTGGATTAGAAGACATGTCAGGAAGACCCGGGGCTGGATTTCCTCTCTGAGCCCAGAGGGAATCCATGTGAAGGAGGTGCACAGAGCAACACTGCTGCAGCCCTGTCTGCACAGACACTCTGACCCTGAAGATGTGTTGTCTTAGAGCCTCTGGCTGCTAACAGTAAATCACAGCAGGCTGATATGATCCCCCACTGTTCCAACCTTAGATCCTGTGCAGTGACGCTAACAGAAACAGAAGGAAACGGAGGGACGGACGTAGTGGCGTGACCGCAATTTCCACTCCAAACCGAGACATGAAACCCCACGCTGRGGGCTGTTGACACACACACAGCCAATATTAATGCAGAAACATCCACATTAACCCCTTCAGCCTCCCCAACCCCCACCGCTACCACGCCCTGCAGCTACATCGCAACCCCTTCATCGCCATTCCAATTGCTCCGCCTGATTTATGACTTCCCATTGGTCGGCTCCCCCGAGGGGTCAGGTGCCCTGCCAATCAGGGTGACATATGGTTTTTCATAGGGAACCAACCGGCTGACCTGGCCGTGATGAGTTAGCACTCTGGTTGTCAGGGTAACCTTTGATGGCTGGGAGGGGTATGGCGGTACACACACACACACGCACACACAAAGCAAAGAGATGGGCTCATAAGTGGCAGTCTCAGACTTTTCAGGGCATCATTAGCAGAAACTGTGCAGCACTAATGGATGCAGAGGGGAGAGGATCTGCATTTAAGCACATTTATTTACTAAATCCATTCTCAGTGGCCTTATCAAGTGGGAAACATCAGTCTTCGCCTGGGTTCAGAAAGCTGAAATAAATACTCGGAGTCATTTGTATTGTCCTAAACCCCAGTGTATTTGATTTATTGTGTGGAGACAATTGACACACAGACGCACACACTTGTGTTACGGTTCTGATTCACAGTGATGCTAAGTGGCCTTCAGTAAGACGGTCTGATATCACAAATGATGAAACAGCTTTAACCTTTTTTGATTTAGCTTTTTCTTGTCATTCTTATTTGCTAACTAATGCTGTGCAGCCTGCATGCTTTCTGACAGTTTGTGTTGCTTCATTTTGCTGACATCATTTTATTTAAAGGGCAAATTTCTTTCTTTCTTTCTTTCTTTCTTTCTTTCTTTCTTTCTTTC